GATAAAGGGCTTGGAGCACTCTTACCATTGGCAACAGTCTAGTCATGATTTTAATTCCAGATATGAGTCTCCTACAATTGAAGAGCAAGATTAACCCCAAAACTGTACCAATTTTCTTTTCATTACAACAGCCCTTTCATCACAGTCTTATAATTTATTGCTACAGGCAAAAGACAGAGAAAAGGCATTGTGCCCTGGCTGTGAGTGAAGAGCATAATTTTCACACTCTCACATAAAGAAGTTAAAGAACAACCCCACACTAGGGGCTCATGCCTATAATTGTTGCTATTCAGGAGGTTAAGATCTGAGAATGGCAGTTCAAAGCCAGCCTGCACTGAAAAGTATCTAAAGTTCTTATCTCCAATTCACCAGGTGGACCTATGGATCAAGTGGTAGAGTGCTAGTCTTGAGTGACAAAGCCAAGCAAAAACAAAAGACCCAAGTTCAAGCTCCAGGACCAGTGCAAAAGAAAAAAAGAAAGAAATTAAATAATAGGCCTTAGATCACACAGATAGTAAGGGAAAAAAATAAACCTATCCTCCCAAATAACAAATTTTACTTCAAATTACAGCAAATCCACTTTTGCTGTGGATGGTAATATTAATTTGAGGTTTTTGATTTAGCAGGAAAATGCGGGACGGGGGCAAAGTGGTATAAAGGAGAGAGAACTCTGGATTTTGAATCTAGAAAGAGAAATTCAGATCCCAGGGATGTCTGAGGAAGCTGGAAGCTGGACTACACTGCATTGAAAACAGATTCCAGGATGGAGCAGCTCTCTCCAACTTGCCCAGCCAAAGTTTCTGGTAATTCAGAGAGAATTAATAACATGACAAGAGCATGAACTTGGAAGCCAGACAGATCTGAGTTTGAACATCAGTACTGGCACTTACCAGTCCATGACTGTAGGCTGCCCAAAGCTTCAGATTGTCAGATCTAAGATGCAACTGATAGAGAGAATAGGAGGGGCTGTTCTGAAGATTTAATGAGAAGTCAGATGGAAAGGACCTCTCACAGTGTCTGGCCTACAGTAGATTCTGGGGAGTTCCAGTTCTTGCTCCACCCCCTAACCTATCTTGGCAATACCCTCATTTCACTTTAAGTCTGCCAACTTCTTTCTCAGCATTGCTCTCAAGATGAGGGAGAAGCAGCAGTGTATGTGGAGGGAGGGGACCTCTTCCTATGTAGAAGCAAATATAGGCTCAGGAATGAATCATGACAGCAAAACCACAATGCATTCACACCTTTGTTGAAAGGCAACACCTGAGGAGGTGGTTAGTGCGAAATTGAAACAATGAATTATCTTTGTAGTGCTGTCATAAATGGCACCCAGGTTCCTGTGTCCTTTCAACAAATGACAATTCACTGGTATCTAAAATAGTGGGAAAAAATCCAGGTGCTGGTGGCTCACACCTGTAATCCAAGCTACTCAGGAGGCTGAGATCTGAGGATCAAGGGTCAAAGTCATTTCTGGCCAAAAAAAGAGTCTATTAGTCTTCAAACTCTAGTTAACCACTAAAAATTGGAAGTGGAGATGTGGCTCAAATGGAAGACAGCCAGCCCTGGGGAAAAAAAGATAAAGGAAAGTGCCCAGGCTCTGAGTTCAAAGCCCTAGTACTTTCATATCTCTCTCTGTCTCTGTCTCTCTCTCTGTCTCTCTGTCTCTCTCTCACACACACACAGAAAGAGAGAGAGAGAGAACAATAGTGAGAGAAGATCAAGACATACCTAGGAGAAATAAATATTTTTCTATATTGTAAACTAGAGACATAGGCAGCCGATCCATAATAATAATAGCCAGCTAATCCATAAACAATAAAACTGTTGCTGTCCTTAAGTATAGTGCCAATTTAGAACAAAGAATGTAGACTCAAACTAAATTGCTTGGGTTCTAATTCCATCTCTATCCCTTACTGTATCAACTATGTGATGTTAGGCATCACATAAATTCTTCAAGCCTCAGTTTCCTCATCTTTAAAATGGGATAAAAAAAAGCATAAAATCAGTTCGTACACATACATATCTAATACATATTGATTGACTCTGTGTTAACTGCCAAGCACCAGTAAGTTCATGCATATAATCCTAGCTATTTATGAGACTGAGATCTGAAGATAGTGATTCAAAGCCAACCCAGGCAGGAATATGGAACTCTTTATCTCAAAGCAACCACAAAAAAAAATATTTTGTTTTAATTTTTAAAAGCTGGAAGTGGAACTGTGGCTTCAGTAGTAGAACACTAGCTTTGGGCCAAAAAACTCAGTGACAGTGCCCAGGCTTTCAGTTCCAGACTGGCACAAAATAAAATTAAAAAATAAGGGCAGGAAGGTGGCTCAGTGGTAGAGTGCTTCCCTTGTACATATGAGGCCCTGGGTTTGATTCCTCAGCACTACATAAGCAGAAAAAGCAGGAAGTGGTGCTAAGGCTCAAATAGTTGAGTGCTAGCCTTGTGCTGAAGAGCTGAGGGACAGAGTTCAGGCCCCACAATCAACCAAAAATAAAATAAAATAAAAGTTAGATATTGCCATTGTTGTATATCAAGTCCCTGAATGTGTGCTTGAGGTAGTTCCATGAGTTTCTGGGCAAAAAAGCAGGAGTGAGTAAAACAAGAACCCCATTCTTAGAGCAAATACACCAGTGGGCATCAACTTATATTCAGAGCCAAATAGACATGGGCTTCAATACTGGCTTCACTACTACTTGGCTTGGACAGGTCACATAACCAGGAACTGCAGCTTCCTCCCCTGTAAAATGGAGTAAATAATGACTGATTTGCCTTCTTCATAGTTATTGGCCTCTATAGAGCCTATTGCTTGTCATTTTAGCTTTTGATCCTTGGACTTCTGGGAATGTTCTTCTGCTTCTGGACTACACCTTCAGGGAGGAGCTGAGTTTCCAGGCATTACTCCCTGAGACCTTAGTGATCTACTAACCCATTACAGAAATAGCTGGGAGGAGGGCAGGAGAATGCATATGGAGGCAAGATAGAGGAAAAGAAGGATGAATAAGTGGGTGGACTTCCAAAAGAACTCACTTGCTCAGTGTCTTAACATCTCTCTCCTCTGCCCCCGTGTTTCTTCTTGCAGAACTGAGTATCTCAAGCTCAGCTTGCTTGTTCATGGCTGGCATGCTACCACTTGAGCCATGACTCCAACCTGACTTTTTTCTGATTAATTGGAGGTAGAGTTTCATGGAATTTTCTGCCTGGCCTGGTTTTAAACCTCCATCCTCTAAGTCTCAGCCTCCTGAACTGCTAGGATTACAGGTCTAAGCCACCATCACTTGGCTGAAACTTTCTTTGGTATCTGTAGGAAATGAATGTATATGAACAAAACGAAGCCAACCATGGTGAGACACACGTGTAGTCTCAGCTACTCAGGACATCAAAGCAGAAGGATCACATTATCATGGTAGCTTCAGGCCAGCCTGGGCAGTATAATATTATATCTATAAGAGAAAGAGAGATAGACAAAGAGAAAGACAGAGAGAAGTGAAAGAGGAAGTAAACCAGGAACTGGTGGCTTGTGCCTGTGATCTTAGATACTCAGAAAGCTGAAAACTGAGAGTTGAGGTACAAAGCTATCCTGGCCAGGAAAGTCTGTGAGACTCTTATCTCCAATTAACCACCAAAAGCCAGAAATGGAGGTGTGGTGTAAGTGGTAGAACACCAGCCCAGAATAAAAAAGCTAAGGAAGAGTGCTAAGGTCAGAACTGACATACCTCTCTCTCTCTCTCTCTCTCTCACACACACACACACACATACACACAGACACACACACACACACACACACACAATAGGTAGGACCCCTTTGCCCAGTCTTTACTATTTATTGTTCCATCTTGCAATCTGGAGCTTGTCTGCTAATGTTCTCACATTCTGAGTCACAGGTAAAAGCAACCTAGGTCTTTGATATCATCAAGTACCACACACTGACCTTGAAGTACCACACAGACTTTCCAGGTAAGAAACCTAAAGTGTGTGTGTGTGTGTGTGTGTGTGTGTGTGTGTGTTTGTGTTGGTCCTGGGGTTTGAACCCAGAGCCTGGGCACTGTTCTTTTTTTTTTTTTTTTTTTTGCTCAAGTCTGGCTTTTTTTCTTTTTGGTGATTGCTTGGAGGTAAGAGCCTCATTGACTTTCTTGCCCAGGCTGGCTTTGAACCTTAATCTTCAGATCTCAGCTTCCTGAGTATCTAGAATTACAGAGCGAACAACAACCATCAAGAAACCTAAATCTTTTATCTTGTTTAAACCATTGTTACTTTAGGTTTTGTTTTATTTTTGGGGGGGGGTCCGGTCATGGGGCCTGAACTCTCGGCCTGGGCCCTGTCCCTCACCTCTTCAGCTCAAGGCTAGTGCTCTACCACTTGAGCCACAGCGCCACTTCTGGATTTTTTTCTTTTTGCTTATGTGGTGCTGAGGAATTGAACCCAGGGTCTCATGCATGCAAGGCAAGCGCTCTACCATTGAGCCACCTTCCCAGCCCTAGGTTTTGTTTTGATTCATTTGTTTGCTTGTTTTTTGTACTGTGGATGGAACTCACAGCTTTAAATATAGCCTGTATCAATGAGAGTGCTAAGGTCAGAACTGACATACCTCTCTCTCTCTCTCTCTCTCTCACACACACACACACACATACACACAGACACACACACACACACACACACACAATAGGTAGGACCCCTTTGCCCAGTCTTTACTATTTATTGTTCCATCTTGCAATCTGGAGCTTGCAACCAGTCCCTATTTTAGATATTATGAAACTGTGGGCCAGAGCTATTTCTTTTTTTTTTTTTTTTTTTTTTTTTTTTTTGTAAAATTGATCATGTTTTAATTATGGGCTAAAAATGTCTAAGACAGTAAGCCTGAATTAGAAAAATTAAGATTCCAAATACATTGCTAGAGAATTGCACAATGGAGGGATGAGGGAGTTAATGAAAATTTTTCTCTACATACAACATGATCATTAGCAAACTAGTAAATCTTAATTGGAATGATAAGGCAAAAATAGTAAAACCACACTTCTCCTATAAAAAAGTTACAGATTATCTTCTGGTAGGGAGAGCTATCATACATGAAAAAGAAAGAAGATGTGATCACTCTGTTGCACACCCAGGAGATCTAGGAAATTGAATCTGAGAATGATCTAGTCACCTTCTTCTTCTCCATCATCCTCAGCATCTCGTTTTCTCTTCTCTCCACGAAGGCCTTCTTCTTCTTCCTCCTCTTCTTCCCCTTCTTCAACATAGTCATCATCATCTTCTTCATCCTGAATTTCTTCTTTCATTAAGTATGAAAGGCCCACTTCCTCTTCTCCTTCTCCCAATTCTGAATCTGCTTCATCTTCATCTTCCTCTTCTTCTTCTTCCTCCTCCTCCTCCTCATATCCTTCAAGTAGACCAGTTTCATCTTCATCTTCATCTTCATCCTCATCATCTTCCTCTTCCGAGTCTGGTGCTTCGTTATCCTCCTGATCAAATCCATCTAAGTATGTGATTTGCTGCAACAGCTCAAAAATACTTTCTCTGTAATCTTCCAGGTTTGTGATCTCACAGTTGAACAAGTCAAGACTTTTCAAATTTTTAAGATTTTGCAGAGCTTCCACAGTACTGAGGTCTTTGATTTTGTTTCCGCTCAGATTGAGGTAGGTAAGATTTGGACATTTCTCTGCCAGGACTTCCAAACCTCCAGAAATTATATTGTCACCAAGTTCCAACTTTCGAAGTTTATTCAAGCTAGGGAGCCGGGCCAGTGAACTTAATTTCACATTAGCCATACTCAGAAACTCTAGTTCTTTAAAAGTGTCATTCAGGCCTTCAATTTCCCCATTGACACACAGGCAATTATCAAGGACTAACTCTGTTACCTCCTCCGGGGCTCTGTTCCGTAACTCCAGACTAATCCTCTTCTTCATCTCCATGTCCTCCTGCTTTTCTGCTGCTACTCTCCTCCTTCACCCCCTTTTCCACTACCCCCAACCCTAAAAAAATTTATTTTTAAGATCTGGAAATGAATGAAAAGAAAAGCAAAATACAAACGCCCACAACCACCAAATAGGTGTAGAGGAGAAAGAAAAGAATAGCAAATGGAGTCCAAGGAGTTAGGACTCTTAACTCGGCTGCCCCCACCTCCTTGTCCACACACCCGCGCGCGCGCACACACGCACGCACGCACACACACACACACCACACACACACACTCCCGCAGTTCCTTCCCCTTCCCAGAGCTATTTCTTACTAAGTGTGAGGCAAAGTTTTTGGCCTGTAGGAGCTTAGCCTCCAATATTCATTAGAACATAGTATGACTGTGCTGTACCTGCCTTGTAGACAAGTAGTTGGTGGCCAGGCACAAGTGTCTACTACTTGTAATCCTACTGCTCAGGAGGGTAAGACCTGAGGATCAAGGTTCAAAGCCAGCTTTGGGAGGAAAGTTCAAGAGGCTCTATGTGCAATTAAACAGCAAAAAATGCCAGACTGGAGGTGTGGCTCGAGTGATACAGCACTGATGGTTAATGAAAAGGCTGAATGAAAGAGAGACCCTGAGTTCAAGCAGTGGTACCAGCAGAAAGGAAGAAAGGATGGAGTAAAGAAAGGGAAGAAGGGGAAGAAAAGGAAGGAAGGGAGCAAAGGAGGGAAAGGAAAAGAAAGGAAAGGAAGGAAGCAAGCAAGCAAACAAGTAGGAAGTTGGGGATCTAGCTTAGCAATAGAGCACCTGCCTAGCATGGAAAATGCCCTGGGTTTGATCCCAATGCCACAAAAATAAACAAACAACCAGAGCTAAAGGAACCAAAGACCTACAAGAGATGTGTGTCTTTCATTTTCCAAGAGAAAGGAGAAATTTAATTTCCCCAATCTTTGTGAATGGTGATTAAGGGGTGTGTGTGTGTGTGTGTGTGTGTGTATGTGTGTGTGTGTGTGTGTAATTTTCCACTGACAAGCTATATATTTTCATAGAACTTCAAGCCACAGCAAACCTTTCTTCAAGAGGACAGCTAAACCCTAATCTAAATTTTTAAAAATGCAATACACGCTTGCACGTGCACACACACATACACACAGATTATTTAAAAATAAGTTTGCCTACACAGAAATCACACCTAAATGAGCTACATATAGGGAAGGCTATAAAGAGAACAAAGAAGTTTTTCTCAAGATGTAATAGAAATGAATGAACTTTTCTCAGGAGACCAGTTGAGAATAACAGCCAACTCTTTTATTTCTGCTCCTAATTTGCTGTTGGACCTTATGTGGCTATTAAACATCTTGGACTTTACTAGAATGGAGTGGTAATTTCATAGAGAGTGGATATTGTTAAGCTTTCTTGATTTCAAATCCAAATTGAGCCTCTCCCATAGAAACTGTAGCTTTTGTAAGCTGTTCACTCACTGCAGAAATGAGGAGATTTGTCTGACTAGCTGATGCAATTACAGATAGATATTCCATATGCTAACTTAGTGTAAATGCCTTACACTTTTATTTCCTTGATGGAGAAACATCAAGGTCTCTGGCTTGTTTTACATGGTTTAGTCTTGGGTGGGAAATACTCCTAAGTAAAATATGAAGCCTCTTTAAAAGTACTTCTCCTTTTCCACACTAGTTATTATCACCAACAAATCATTTTCCACCCACTATGTTTTATGATTGGGCGTCTCTACCTGCTGTAGCCCCTTTCCTAATCTAGCCAATTCTTTCTCGCTCCCCAGTGAAAAATGGAGGACCGAGCTCAGAATTATGATAAGGCTGGCCAAAGCCCTTGACTGACTTTTCTTATTTCCCTCTATCTGTAGGTGGTAAGTTTAAAGGTTTGGGGAAAATTCCCTGATGACTACAAGTACTGATTCTAATGAGATCAGATTAGCACTTTCAAATATAATTACTATGACACTAGCCAGTCCTATTTTCAGACTATGAATGAAGACAGGGAACAGAATTGCTCACAGTTCTATGCACTTGTTTCGTGGACAAGAATCCAGCACCTGAAAGCTGAAAGCAAGATCTGTATCAGCCTTCTTGGATTGCTTCCATTTTATAGGTGTAGACAGAGTCCAGTGTTGGGCTCAAAGCCCAGGAGCCAGGTCATGATCAGGTACAGCAACTTTGACTATTGGCTGTGTTTTGATCAAGCCTCCCACACAGCCAGAAGAATGGGCTAGTAGTCAAGGAACCACATTCTAAGCTTGGGCCTGTCTTTTTCTGGTTTCCCTATGAGAAGACACTGCCCTCCTTTGGGCCCTAATCAAAGAATAAGAGCATCAGTCCCTTAAACTGGACACTGGTGGCTCATTCCTGTTAATTCTAGCTACTCAGGAGGCTGAGGATTGGGGTTCAAAGCCAACCTGGACAGGAAAGTCTATGAGGCTCTTATCTCTAACCACCAGAACAATGGGAAGTAGAGCTGTGGCTCAAAGTAGTGGAGAGCTAGCCTATAGTAGAAAAACTCAGGGACAGCAGCCAGGTCCTGAGTTCCACCCCTATGATAAAAGGAAAGGGAAGGGAAGGGAAAAAGAAAAGTCCCAACTCTGCCACCCACTGGGTAACTTTGGTCCATCCACAGCATCAAATATCATTCTGTGGCTTTAGTAGGGGGAGACAATATCTACAGAGTAGCTAGCACTCAAGATGGGGGAATGGCCTTAGGTCAGAGAATTGAGAAGAACAAAGCAGCAGATTCTCAGCTCTAGTCAATAGTGTTGGCAGATACTTCATTTGGCAACTTATTTGAATTGTTACCACGTTCTGTATTGACTGAACAATGACTCCGATGTTGTAGCGACCTGTTAGGCCAATTGGAGTCTTCTGCTGTCCCCAAGCTCAAGGAAGACATGGACTAGGTGAGTACCTGGAGATTGGAGAGGATGCAGTGGGCCCCCACCTGGAGGTTATGGCATTCTGACCAAGGCTGGAACTAGCCAAGAAGGCACTTCTTACAGCGTCCTAGCTGCTCCCTCCCAGCCTCAGTCTCCCCGGCCTGCTCTGACCGTCTGAAGTGTTCTAAGTTGGCTCATACCCACAAGAATCCAACGCTCAGCCAAGGGTCCTGCCAAACCCCAGAGGTTCCACTAGCCAGAGGCCTCAGGCTTACTGGTGGCAGATTCTGCTGTGGCTTCCGTTTCAAGGGCGCGGCCTGCGAGAGGAGGAAGTGGTAAGTTTTGGGGGACCTGGGACCCTGCATTCTCTCCCGCGATCAGCGCAGGCTCTGCTGGTCGCTGTCACCTGCACGGATGCAACCAGCAGGTCCTGCAACCCCAGAGAGCCGGCTGTCAGCGCGGGGGCCCCAAGGCCGGGTCCACGGGGTGCGAGGGACCCCCGGGCGGGCAGCTTCCCGCCGCGGGCCTGCGGGGCCCGGACATGGAGGATCAGCCAGGGAATTCTTCCACCCAATTGTCCGCATTTATTGGAAGGAAATTCGACCCTCCGAACCCCAGGAGTAGAGAGCTGGTGTCTGCATCCTTTCCTGTCGCGGCTTTAAAAAAAAAAAAAAAGGTTTCTCTGTTGGGGCCCCTGGCGGCGGCGGCGGTGTCTAGCCCTTCGGATTGTGGGGAGTCCTGCAGTCCCCTCCACCACTACCCTCTCCGCTCCGGGTCTCCACGGCAACCTGCCCCTCCGTTGGGCCGTACATCAGTGCTCTGGGCTGCGGTGTGCCTCTCTACACTGCCTGGTTCCAGCCCGCCCTCCCGGAAGCCAACCTCTGCCAAGTTCAAATAAAGAAGCCCATTTTCCATATCGTTTACTTTGGGTAGAAGAACTTTGAAGACTGGCTGTATGGGCACTCAAACTCATATTGTGGGTAAAATTTCAAGGAGAAGGAGGCTAATATGCCGGGCTTTGGGCACGCAATAAATTGTATGTGTGAGTGTGTGTGTGTGTGTGTGTGTGTGTGTGTGTTAACCTTGTTTGGTTGTTGCTGCTGCTGCTGCATTTGTAAGGTAAAATCTTTTATGGAGGTAATTTGACATGTATGAATTTAGTTTGTCTAAAAAACGATGCTTGGAAAAAGTGCAAATATTCCAATGTTACAGCAACATGTAAGTAAAATACGGTTCCCTAAAACTAGATCATATACACAAAGGAATACATTATATAGACAAAGGATATCTGTGCTCACAGGCAAATAGGTCTAAGATTATAGTAAATGAAAAAGAACAAATTGCAAAACAAAACAAAAAAAACCACAGAAGTTAAGATAGCATGATATGATTGCACATTTGTTAAAATGGAGGAAAAAATACTGTAAGCAAAATCTGCAACTAATCAAATCTGACCAGTTACTTTTCATGGATGATTATATAGGAAACATATGTATATTTTATATATGCATATATCTGGAAGAATATTTAACCAACTGTTGCTTTGGGGGGATGGAAGAGGGGGTATAAAGGACATTAACTTGCCACAGTGTGTATTTCTTCAAAATTTGATATCTTTCTAAATGGGCATGCATTAGGTAAGTATTCCTCCCACATAGTACAATAAAGATTTTTAAAAATCATAATCCTTCCTCATTGCAAGAATACAAGATTGTTATCACTGTTCACTTCTCTCTGATCTTTCCATTAGTAAGTTAATTTTCCCTCCAACTTCTTCTCCTCCCTGCACAATAGCTCAGAAACCTGCATTCCTTTAATTGCTGCTTACAGATGATCTGTTTTATGTATACACATAGTTTTCAATCTTTTTCACCAAAAGAAGAAAAAGAAGTGAGAATATTTTTTCATTTAACTTATTCAGAAATTTTTTTTACTTATATTTTATTTTTAAATTATTACTTATCTAAAGTGCTGAGAATTGCATTCATAGAATATAAGTGAAATGGGTGGGATTTTTTTTGCTTGTTTTTGTTTTTCTTTGTTCCTGGGGCCTGAACTCCGGGCCTGGGCGCTGTCCCTCAGCTCTCCAGCTCAAGGCTAGCGCTCTACCACTTGAGCTACAGTGGCGCTTCCGTGCTTTTTCTGCTTATGTGGTGCAGGGCCTCATACATGCAAGATACTGAGCCACCTTCCCAGCCCCTAAATAAGATTTGACACCATGTGTTTTGGCCTTTGGAAGCATAATAGATTTTTTGGCTGTTCTTTTCTTTGTTTTTGTTGTGATAAAATCCAACCTAGGGCATGCTAATCAAGTGCTTTATCCCTGAATTATATTACCCAGCCCAGTATCAAAGGTTCTGATCCATTAATTTTCAAGTTCTGTGTCAATATGGCCTCTTTTG